TCGTGGTTATGAAATCAAGCAGGCTCGGAGTTTGGACAGAAGTGTCCCAGGCGCGAGGGTCCCGGTGAGCGGGGCAGCCGCGTGTCTGGGGCGCTCGGACAGCCGGGATTTGGGGGCGAGCGGAGGGCCACCCTACGTTGGCACTCGCTCCGACTGGTGCCGGCGGTGCCTGGAGGGGCTCTCTCCACAGAGAGTTTTGCTGGAAAAGTTTACTGGCAGTGTCACCCACTTTGAGGGCGCATGGGGAAGTGTATTTGGGGGCGAGCGCTTTATCTATGACCCGGAGGGGGACGCTTGTTGGCCGGGGCCGGGCGGCGGGGTGCGGGGATTGTGTACCCAAAGGGTGTACGTGTGCGCGTGTGTGCGCCTGGGAGGCGTGTCGGCGCGGGAGCCAGTAAGGTGTGCAGGGGGGAGGAGGCCAGAGAGGTGCCGCCTGCCTGTGGGTGACGCCTGGAGACCTTTGAAGGGGCAGGAAAAGGTAACAGGAGGCCTGAGGGCTGGGACGTTGCCGGAGTTCCGGCATAGGATTTAAGTGCCACGGACTTGACAGTTCTAGACCCATTGCCTTTCAGGTGCAGAGGGCTAGAGGTGGCTTCTGGAACTCTCAAGAGACCTGCGAGGGAGGGAGAGGATTCTAGGAAATGTGTGTGTGTGTGGGGGGGGGGGGGGCGGGGAGAGACACACACAGAACCCTAGAGACCTGAACCCAAGTCAGAGCTGCGGATTTGAATCCCGGGGTGCTGCTGTCCATAGTGAAGACCAGATGTTCCCGGGTTCCCCAGAGTGTTTACTGTTAGGCTCCCTGGCATGTGTGCCCGGGAAGGCGCTCACCTTTCCTGGCAGCTGTGGCAGCTCTGTGCCCTGACCAGCTGGTGTTCTAGGCTAGTTTCCACCTGGGTCACCCTCGAAGGCGTTCTCCCTGGGGTACTAACGGATAGATCTTGGAGGTAACTAGTATGGAAACATTTCCAGAAATGAAAATGCTGGCTAGAAACAAAATAAAATAGTTTGGCAGACAGGGTTGTTGGTCCCACCTTTTCTGTGATTGGGGATTCTGTTTCCTTTTGAGAAAAGCAAAGCTCAGTTGTCGCAGATTGGATTTCAAGGGGTCGCCAGTTCTGTGTGGCTTCCCTCCGGGCGGACCTGGCGGGCATCATTTGTAGCGGAAGCGTGTCCCAGGCCTCATCTCCTTCCCCCGCTGTACACTTTCTGCTTCACGTGGGTCTAAGGAACGTTGGTGAGTCAACAGTCAGCTTTCCTTGTGGAGTAAAGATGTCAAAGTGAAATTGCAGTTTGGGTCTCCTGCCTGCCCGGGAGAGCCAGCCCTTAATGGGCCAAGGTGTGAAATGCAAGTCTATCAATGCAATGACAAAGTGCCACATTCCACAACTTTGCCTTGTAAATATTTGTTCTAGGCAGAGTTTGGGACTGTGTTTTTGATTATTAGTTTTTAAACAGCAGACTGCACATCATAAGCCACTTAAAAATGGATGCACGACGCCTTCCCTGTGCTGTCTGTGGCGCCTGTGTTAACGGATGTTTATGGTGCTTGGTAGCCTATGGGATTGTCATACTGGGTTTCTCGTTGGCCGAGGACATGATGTTTATAGCATAAAGTAATTAATGGGGCCTGGTGCGGCCTGCTTCTGCCAAGGGCATGAAGCACCCCCACATAGACACATCTTGAAGTTGGTCCAACTTGGTGAGCCTTTCTGGCTATCCGCTGGTGAGCATTGTTAATGTAAAGATAAATCTGAGTGATGCAGCGACAATACCGCGCAGCGATATAGGGAGCTAAGAAAAAGGCGTGGGCTTTATTTTTTGAAACCTGCTAACCCAAAGCTAAAGCTACCCTGTCATTCCACTGGTAAATTGCACAATTATGGAGATGTGGTTGGCTTTTAGAGAACAATTTTTTTAAAAACATGCCAATGATAAAAGTAACTTCTATTTCTTAGTGTGTTCACGTGTCGACCCAAACCACTTTTCCTTCTTTAAAAAAAACCACCAACAACAACACACACACACACACACACACACACACCCTATAATCTCTTTGGTAATCATTTAAATAATATGAGTGTTCAAATCACCTAGCCACTTTGTGAATCTTGAATCGGTGAGAACTGAAGCTTGGGAAGACAGGGGTCAGCTCTCCACTTGTGGTGTAAACAAGGTGAAATGGGATAGCTTTTTGGCAAGTGATTTTCTTCAATATGGAACAGTATAATGTAAATAATGTGCCCAATGAAATGGTTGACTGGGCTGATGACCAACTTTAGAGTTAACTCTCTATCAGGTACATGAATTGCCAATGAGTAACTCTCCCTGTAAATGGGCCAGCCCACCTTTCCTGGGACTAATCTGATGGGAATGTCTCTTTCTCGCCGACCAGTGCATTCTAGGCGGTTCATTCTCAGAAAGTTCTAACTTGTACTGAATCGACATTTTCTTCCACCCATTGGCCTACTGGTCAGTTGCTGGAGCCACACACAGTGAATCTAACCCAGCCGTGGGCAAACTACGGCCCGCGGGCCGGATCCGGCCCATTTGAAATGAATAAAACTATTGGGGAAAAAAAGACCATACCCTTTTATGTAATGATGTTTACTTTGAATTTCTATTAGCTCACACAAACACTCCATCCATGCTTTTGTTCCGGCCCTCCGGTCCAGTTTAAGAACCCATTGTGGCCCTCGAGTCAAAAAGTTTGCCCACCCCTGAAACCTCTCCCCTTTAGGTACTGTATTTGAAAGCAAACACTGCACTCCTTCTTCCTGAATTCTTTTTTGGCTATTCTTGTAGCCTTTCCTCACCCACACGGGGTCCCACCCTTCTCTACCCCGACCACTATGTCCTAGATTCCACATCCTCGCCACTTTCTTGTGTACCGTCTGAAACACAGATGTGAAATCCTTAGTTCTGGACTCTACATCTGTGAAGGCAGCTTAATACTTATGGGCTTTCTGAGCCATCTCACTGCACTGTTTGCTAATTTTAAGCCTGTAAACACGATAACAACTCACTCTCTTCATATTATTAATCATCCTTAGTCAAAACATGATGATAATAGTTTCCAAACATTTTTTTGTGCCTGAACTTTTTATAAACCTATGGGAAGTAATACTGCCATGGTCCATTGACTTCTACATGCAATAGAAATAGCTACTTAATTTCTCTCCCTCAAGGATTACCAACCCCCTAAAACCAGATGTAGAATGTTGTGAAGACAAGCAAATTGAAACTGCATGTTACAAACAGGTAGGGCCTACCTTATAAGGTATTCTTTTTTTAAAAATATGTTTTTATTGATTTCAGAGAGGAAAGGAGAAGGAGAGATAGAAACATCAATGATGAGAGAAAATCATTGATTGGCTGCCTCCTACACCCTCCACACTGGGGATCGAGCCTGCAACCCTGGTATGTGTGGGAATTGAACCCTGACCTTCTCGTTCATAGGTTGACACTCAACCACTGCACCACACCAGCTGGGCCCAAGGTTCTCTCTTCACATCACATTCCCACCCGTCAGCATTGACTGGGACCATGGGATAGGATGCTGCTTATCTCGTTATTCGTCTGTGTTAACTAGCTGAGTGGGTACATTGTGAATTGAGATAAGTGACAATTGTCCAGGAATTGTTTGCCTGTGGATTAGGGCTGGCCCATGCCCTCTGAGGCATCAACCACTGTGAAAGCCTGGGGGTAGGTTGACATTCTCAAAAGGGCAGGGAGCAGGCTTTGGAATCGCAAATCTTGCTTGTCTGATGAGATCTGAATCTGGCTTTGCCATTTACCACCTTCATGATCTCAGCAAATCACTTCAGCTCTTGGAGCTTTATCTGCCAAATGGGGGTGGTGATTCTTACTTCACAAGGCTGTTGCCGTTTCAATGAGCCAAACCATGCCTGGCAGCCTGGCAGGTGGGGCAGCAGCAGGAGATGACTCTGCAGCACCTTTCTGAGGGTCTCGGAGAGAGGAAACTTGAAACCTTCACTCATAGAAGATCCGCTTGATACCACCTGCTACTTCCTCCCCTCCTTCTTTCCCAGTAAACCGAAGTTACGCCCTCAGTGAGTCCCCAACTGCTTCTTTTGTTTGCGGTACGAGGACCCCAATATCAGAGTCCGCCTGCTTGTGCACTGGCCCCAAGAAATGCCTGAGCAGGAGTGTGCAGGATGGAGAGAGAAACAGCTTCCTATTGAATAGGCCAACCCAGAGGCAGGGAGCCCGATGGCATGTAGGTTACAGATTAGGGCTAAGTCACAGGACAGGTGGGTTAGGGGTTCTGGGTCCTACAGGGAGCTTACTAGTCAGAGGTGAGGTAAGGGTCATGAATCTTTTCCTCAGGTCTTGAGGACAGTTCTGACCTCTGTTCCAACACCCCTGTGAGAAAGTAGCCAGGGGTTCATTTCTCCTGAAACAACTTTGGTCAAGATGTGATCTTTCGCCTGCAGAGGTCTGGACCTGTGACCAGCAGTCAGGTCTGGGCTGTTCTGCTGCCTGAGGGGTTGCTGATTATTGGGGCAAAGGCTAGGTCTTGAGGGACCTACAGAGAGAGAGAGACAGAGAGAGAGAGAGAGAGAGAGAGAGAGAGAGAGAGAGAGAGAGGATTTCTAGAGCTAGGACTTAAGCTACATTTAACCAAAGTCCTAAGGACCCTCCGTTTCACTGAAACTGTTGCAATTTCGCTCCTTCAGAAGGGGGCTGCTGTCCGGAGATGAGTTGCTTGTGAGGTCTCCGCCAGGCTGCCCAGACCACTGCCACACAACAGCCGTGACAGGTTGTTTATTGGTGCCTTACGAAGTTTGGATTTAAGAATCAATACAAAAGCCATTCCTGGGTACACATATTTGTAAGAGAGATTTCTATTTGCTGGTGTTGGGAGACCCTCCTTAGACATGGTGGGACTTTGGGTAAGTTAAGGGACAATCGAATGTTGGCCAGTTGGGGTGACGGGGGTTGTGGTAAAAGGCCTTTCTTGGTAAAGGGCAGCCTGTGACGACGTGACATAAGAACGGAGTCCCCAGAGGAGTGCACACCAAAGCCTGCACATGTTTTGGTCCCTATTAGAGTAACCTTCCCCCATCTAGGTCATGCTATCATATGAGCTTGTTTCCTTTTCTTCATAGCACTTATCACTGTCTAATATTATCTTGTTTATTAATTTGTTTACCTGGGTCGTTTTTTTTGTGTGCGAGTGTCCATGTCCACTGACAGAAATGTAAGCTTCCTAAAAGTAAGGACCTTTTCTGTTTTGTTCACTTTATATCCTATAGAAAATCCTTAGTAGGTTCTGGTTGAATGAATGCATGCATGCATTTGAGAATGGAAATTTCTGTTAGCATTTTTCCAAACATTTGCTTCCCTTCCACACATCCCAAAATGTGTGGCTTTCGAGTTCCCAGTGTATTTATAATTTGGTGTGATTTCTTCACACTATGGAATGAGGAGCTCTTTCCAGGAACTGAAAAGTAATCCAGGGCACCCATGATCTCCCCCAGCCAATGACCGTGAACTGACACATTCAGTAGGCCCTTCTCTCCATCAGCACATATAGTCAGGAGTGATGTCTTGGTCTGGATTTCTCCCAGAAGCAGACCACGACATAAGGATCCAGGTAAAATTTCATTTGGGAAAGTGAAATGAGGTAGGACAAGGAGCCACTCACGTGAGCATTGTCAAGCAAGTTACAGCCCTTACGAAAAGATCAGTGATCTTTTTGAAGAGAGTTTGGGAGCCCAGGCAAAACCCACAGCTTGGAGTCCTCTCACCCAAGGTTGAAAGAGTTTGAATATTTACCCACCAACTTTCCTCAGTCAGTAATTGCTGGGCACTAATGCTGGGCAGAGCAAAGCAGTCTCAGGATGCTAAAGGGAGCCTTCAGCCAAAGTGACGCGGGTGCTGGCGGTTAGAAATTAGTCAGTGTGAGGTTGGAGGGGGAGGGGATATGGTTGGGGAAGAGACAGGCTACTTGCACTGGACTCATTTCATACTTACAGAAAAGTTATAAAGATGTAGATTTCCTTGACGAGCTTTCCCCTAACGTTAACATCCCTCACCATGGTGTACTTGTCCAAACGAAGAAACCGACATTAGTACACTATAAGTGAAATTCCAGATTTTATTCAGAGTTTCTGTGTTTCCACTAATGCCTTTTTGTTCTGTCCCAGGATTCAATCCAGAATATCACATTGCATTTAATTTTACAGTTTTTAACCATTATGCATACACTTTTATTTGGACCCTCTCCTATATTCAATTAACTAGTCTTTGTCACTAGATAGTAAGTTCTATGAAAACACAGTGATATTGACATCCAGCATCATGTTGGACACAGCCTATGTTCTCAAAGAAAAAAAACAGTAAGAACAAAACGTATTCAGTAGACTTACGTGTAGCTGAGCCTCCATCAGTTAGCTAAGAACTACTCACAGCAGTGTGATGACTTAGAAGAACTTGGACTTTGAACATGTGTCCTAAACATCAAACGTGAAGCAGGACCCGCTAAGTCAGACACAGCCCAGTGCCTTCGGTGTGCCTGGCATTGTCTGTGCAGGTCACAGTTAATCCTGCTGTGGGTCACATGGCCGTGGGGACCTCAGAAGGATGGAATGAGACTCAGGGATTTTAGGCACTTGCCCAGGGGTTCATAGGTGGTAAATGACACAGCAGAGGTTACAACTTGGTTTCTGACAACTTTGGAGCCTCTATTCTTAACACGAGTCAGTTACTCCTGCTCTTCTCCGCGTGCCCAGCCCCTATCCTTGGTGCTATGTGGCTAGGCCTGCAGTCTCTGACAAATCTGTATTATCAAACCGCAACAGACGTGGGCGCCTGGTATACTTCATGTGAGCTGGATGAAGTTAACCTGGAATCCGTGGATTGTTTTCAAAGCCTACCTCACAGTGGTCAAACCTGCTATCTTGGTATCCAAAGACATGGACCACAAAGCTCTTCAGAAAATCACCCATCTGCCAAGAATAAAGTTTTGACACAAGGCTAATAACAGGCTTGGAAGCAAGCAGCTCTGAAGAGCAGGACATTGATGTTGTATAAGAATTCATGTATTTTATAATGTGCTTGAGTTTGGATTGTTGGCCTCCATTTTTCAGTCTTTCCATAGTTACCGTTTTTTGGTGGGCTTTGTTTTTTAAATGCCACACGAGGGCTATGGAATATTTAATGAAATCTTTGACTAATCTTTATACTTGCAATAGCCCACAGGAAAATTACCCTTGGTCGCCTTGGCACTTGGGGAACGAAACTCGAAAGAAGAAATTCTTCTCCATCATTTGAGCTTTGACTCCGGGATGATAAGCAGCATGGATATGCAGGCTGACCAGCGCTGAAATTCCTCTAACCTCTAATTCTAAATTGAGAAAAGACGAGGCTTTAAGGCCTCTTGTTTATCTTTGCTTTGATTGCAAGTTGTGGGGAGCCTAGAGTTAGTATCTAATAACGCAATCTATGTGAAACACACATTATTGGCTCAGAATGAGATCTACGGAGATACGAAAGGACAATCATGTAAAAATGGTCTTTTTTTTTCCTTAGAAGAAACAAGCCGGGATTGACTGAAAGGCATTCCCTTCCGACTTTAAGGTTTAGAGCATTGCATGTTTTTAAAAGGAGAAACAAGATTTCCTTGTAGAACATATGTATGACACTGTTTACTTAAATGGCTATATTAAGTTGACATGGTTTTAAAGCACGACCTTTGACCCTTTGTACTTGGGATTACAGGCACAATCTGTTAGTGCAGATTTGTAAACTGTGCTCCAGAAAGACCCCTTTGGGCCCTGGGGTGTCCAGAGGAGAGGCCCCACTGACAGCACTGCCTCCTCCACCCCCTCCCCTCCTGCAAAAGGCTCTGCTTCTGAGAGAGTTATGTTGAAGGAACAGCCACTCTTAAAAAAGCAACCAACGAAGACGCTTAAACCTGCTATCTATTTCCTTATGTCACAGAGGCTACTTTCTGACCACCTCTCTTCAGGAAGCCCTCAGATTTCTAGAGGGAAAAGCACATTCTATGTCCAAGTTCGGATTTACTTTCCTAACTGCTCGATGTGAACTCCGAAGGACTGTGTATTATCTACTTAGTGGGCTCTCAATAAGTAGGTTGCTTCACTAATTACTGTTATGTGGACAAGGTTTAGGGAGTGCTTAGTATGACTGGGGGCTATACCAAGCTCTTTTTCATGCTATATTATTAAATCCCACACAGAATTCCTGGGATTTACCTCATTGTACATTTGGCGAAACTATGACATGAGGAGGTTAAATAATTATAAAAAGCCCCTCAGTAGGTAAGTAACACAGTCCAGATTAAAACACAGATATTCTGCCTGGCCAGGATTGCTCAGTGGTTGAGCATCAACCCATGAACCAGGAGGGCATATGCCCGTGTTGTGGGCTCGATCCCCTGTAAAGGGCATGCAAGAAGCAGCCAACCTATGATGTTTATCTCTCATCGATGTTTCTATCTCTCTATCCCTCTCTTTCCCACTAAAATACAATAAAAACATATTAAAAACAAATAAATAAGACACAGATCTTCCTAATTCCAAATGTGTCCATCTCTCCTGCTTCTCAC